TACGCTGGCGCTGCAAGAACAACGCTCCGAAGTCCTTCAATTTCATTGGCACTGGAGCAACTCGTGAAACTCGTATGAGGGGTGGGGCTTGAGGTGATTCGCCTTCTTTTCCACTCTTCTCTCTCCTCCTTTCCTACCCGCTTATCCCCTTGCAACCCATTTTATCCGCGCTTGTCTGTTAAGTGCAGTTTGAATTGAAATGATAATAGCCACGCGTCCGCGGTCAAAGCCAAAACCGTCCCTGTCATCTGGCTTGACATCTTTCTGGCAGGCAGCTAATCCACCTCCATCTTTGATTGAACTTTACATGACTTTGACATCGATCAGTACGCTTTTCAATAATGACGTAAATTAAAGGTGAGATTTGAAGGCGGCGTTCAAATGAGTTTTTAGCTCTCAAAAGCTCCCAAAAGTTCACATTGCACAAATTTAACTGGACAAACTCGAAACAGTCCACGATGGAGTGAAACTGCGGGTCCTTGCAGAAAAGTAGCAGATGGCGTAGCATAGCACTCACCGTGGTATCCGGAGCTCTTCTTCTTGTCGTACGAGCTTGCAGTGTTGGCGGCCACTGCCCTTCTGCGCCGACTTCCGCTCCCTGTTGCAGCAGTTCTCCCATTTTTGATCCCACTTGGTTATATTGCATTCACTATCGGAATATGTTTGTACTCAGTTGTGACGTTTTGTTTTTGGAGTTTGTTTCCGATAATAAATATCAAATATCAAATATCAAAGTGCGGGCTCCTACCACTTATGTGCTGAGCGGCATCACTTGCTACCACATCCTACCTTCATCTTCGGCCATCATCATGGTGAAATATGCCCTCTGCCCTCTACTTAGCATATTTCTTTTTCAAGTTGAGTGGTGCGCAAGGAACTATAGTTTGCAATTTGGGCGCTCGCAATTTTGTGCGTTTTCATGGAAACAACAAGTGAAAGGAGCTAGTTTTTTACAAGCGAGAGCAGTTAGAAATGTGTTTTGGCATCTATAATGAGTTTTGGCATCTGTTAATGAGTTCGCACAACAAAGAGCATATGTCAACCTTCCCGTACTGCGTACCACCAACGCATGTTCCTTCAGCTGCAACCTTTTTGTTTCTGAATCATTTATTTGATCAGGGAGTGGAGGAGACTTGTCTGAATCACCAGTAAAACCTCAACAAATAGTGAAAACTGCTACAACCAGAAGAAATGCAGCTGAAGCCTTTGCCAACACAGCCAGGTCACTCATAGCCATTCGATAGTTTCAAAAAGTACCCTCAGAAAGACCTGCAGAACATTTTCTGACCATTATCTTCATTAAGATCCTGTGTATGGATTGAGAGACTCTGAAAATAGGGCACGGCGGAGTGGGGCATGGCAATCAGCGAAGCTTCCTATGCGCGCCGTCTGGGGTAGGTCCTGTACGCAGCCCTACAATATCGGCAATTGATGCCATACTTGTCGGGAAGGACAAATACACCGGTTTGCTCATGGGCTGACTCCCGCGGATCACTATGTAGGCCAAATTCCATCACGATCCACCATGATTCCAAATGGAAGCAATGCGTGGCTCATCCCAAAACAGGACTGCTCAACTCCTGGTACCACCGGAAGTTTCTTTGAAATCTTTGGCTTTCAGCAAAGCATGAGATCGGCACCTAAATTCGTCAGATTGGCAATAATGGGATCCTTTTTGAATTCGAGAACATTCTAGATTCCACTGCTAAAAAGGGCATAACCTGAGATTGCACTGATCACACTTACTTTATCTCATCCTGGTCCCCCTTGACCATGATATTTACTCGAAATTCACTAATAGTTACCTTATTTTCTCACTCTGTGTGGCGAAGGTAAGCTGCTGTCACCAGAACAATTTTTATCCTCGCTTATCCCAAAAATGTTTTCTTCGGTTCTAAGGAGTTCCTGTTGATAAATCAAAACCAGCTTCAAAAAAATGGAATGACATCATAAACCGCTCCAGCAAACGGCTTTTCCATTGCCCAGGCAGCAACTGTTTGCCAGCAAGCAGTTTTCTTGCGTGATTTTTGCCGAAACCTCTTTCTGCTATTCTTATGTCAATGTATTGATTGATTTTCAATAGTTATTCATTTTGGGTAGCGTTTTGAACCCACGAGGTGGCATAGAAGTAGTATTAATCTCCTTATATTTTTACTTCTTGATTATAAAATTGTCTGAGCCTTCGACGTAATAATAAAAGGCTGCTTCTTCCAATTGCTTCGTTATTGACGGCCTGCAATGTGTGTCAAAACTCGGCGACGTGGATCTCTCCCAGCTACTCTAATCGGTTTAGTTACCGCCCTTCGTGATCAATGGCCAGCCACGCGGTGCTGCCAGGATCTCACTCCAGGAACAAATGGTTGTCGCACCGGTGGCCTGCCGGTTTTCAAAAGCCGAATTTGGAAAGTTTTCTTTGCTGAAAGGAATCTCATGCCCTCATTCATCTAAGCCAGCCCTGGGCAGGGGAAATCTTCATCCACCGAAATTTTATTGAAGAAAAATCTCCTGACTCTCCTGGTATTGCGCAATCCCGCGCGGTCGCGACTGGGTTAATGTAACTTGCTCACCAATTCATTAGGTTAGGGAGATGTGGTCACTCTTTTGGCTCCTACTTGAGCATTTTCCATGCTGTCGCCTTATCTGATCAACCTAGTTGGAAGAGTCATGGCTAGAGGGGAGGAGCCAAAATTACTTGATTGGATACTCTAATAAAAATTGGTAGCCTTCTATGAAGGCCACAGAATTCCCCAAAAATTCCACACCCAAACAACTGAAGATGATTCGATCTTCAAAAAAAGTTACCCACCGTTTGGCCAATGCAGATCCATGGATCAGCTAGTTTACGCAGACTTCCATCTCTATAACTGCGCTCTCTCAATGCAGCGCCCCACGCCGTTGCTCCGTTGTCGTCCTTTGAACGCTGAACTAAAATCTGGACTGAAATATGTTCTATACTCATGAACATGCCATAAACGAGCACAATTTAGAGTGATACTTTAGATGTCCACAATGACTGAATTTCGTCCCATTTCCGATTAATTTACGATTCGCTGTCAATCCAAATTACGTTTATGACCGTATTTTTGCTTTAGGAGGCAATTATGTGAAGATAATGGAAGAATTTCTTGGGACGTTACTGTACTTTAATCGGGTTCCCCGTGTTCTTAGGTGCTGAGTCACGATTGCGGTAAGATGATGGTCTCTCGTTCGCCCCCATCCGTCTCTACCCCTTGACAACTGCAAACGGCACGTCCTCAATGACAGTTGGCATTTTTAAGGTGACGTGATTGAGATCCGTTCAGAAAAAAAGCCTCATAGGATTGTCAGCTGATCAAAAGCAAGAACCAATATCACAAATCATAGGTACCTTAAAGACACATCCCATGATCGCCTTGTTGTGGTCATTAGGTTCGAATATAAAGTAAATGTGACAATTGGTCGACTATCAATAAAGTGAGCAAAGAAGTAAGCTGCTCACGTTCCTGGGGAACGAGTTTACCCTCCATGGGCTGAAGCTGCTGCTCTTCAGCAACTCTTCTGGCTTCTTCCGTTGTTGCGATAAAGAGGATACCACCAACAAGAAAGGCGTTGGGTTGCATCGGACTCCGCTATAAGAACCTGCTCGCAATGAATTTTGAGGGTTTCCGCGATTTCTCTTAATACTATCAAACACCGTTTTTATCATTGTTGCACAATAACATAACCCGACTACTGCGGACTTTGCTTCAGGTGCTTATCGCCTTCACCCGAAGCGGAGTAGCTATAGGCCAAGGGAACTAAAATTTATCAAGTGACAGAACAAAAATCATTATCGAATGTGTTATCATAATTGGAATAACAGAGGGAAAGGATTTATAAAGTGCAAAGCTGGCTGAAGTGGCAATGTGTAGATAACGGCATACATAGGGTATGCATGTTATCAAGTGGTTACAAAATAAATAGCATAAGCAGGCTATCCAGGGGTAATGAAGGCGCTATAACCTTTACTGGTCGGGATTTTCAAAGTATTACTTTGCTGCGAATTTTCAAGCTCCTCTTTGAGGTTTGTAGAATAAGGTCAAAGTATTGAGTTAATCCACTGACCGCTGCAATGGTCAAATGAATAAGTTCCTGTGTCCATGCAATTCCGAATAGGTGTCTAGTGCATGGCGCATCTCAGAGACAGACCCTAGACATTATTTTTGGTGACTGTGATGCGAAACTGCTTACACTAACTATGACTGACGATTGACTCTCTAAAAAATTACGTATTATTTATAAATAGATGAAAAAACTAACAAGGGAAGCTCCCTCGGGTCGCCATGGCTATTCGAGATGAGATTTATACTCACGTATGCGTCTTGGAACGCTGATCTCGAATCTGGCTCCCGAATCTGCTAAACGATTCGGAGAGAGAAGCTATGGGGCTCCGTATTTGCTAACACTATATTTTTGTGCCCGTTATAATCGTCTGAACTCTTTTATTTTCTCCATTTCCTCGTTTTTTTTTCTCGCCATTCTGCAAAAGAATACTTTGCGGGTTTTTTTTGTTCGTTTTTTGTTCTTACAAAAACTCCCTCTCGCTCTCTAAGGAAGGCAGTTGAGAGGTCATTGGGTTTCTGATCACTAACCATCTAGCTGATGATTAAGATAAATCAATATACATTGGTGTCGAGTCTCAGTCTTATCACCGTATCACCTATTTTTTGCACAGCGACGTTCCGAATTCCAGTGATTTCTTGAATGTTTCCCTCGATTTCTCGATTTAGCACCGTGATTAGTCACTGATTCATCGCCGGCTTTTCTTCTCAGGGTCGTTGTCGTCGCCAAGTGGGCGGAGCTCGGTTTCGTATTGGTCAGTATCTGAGTGAGAGGCGTGGTCTAGAGGAGGCAGCGTGAGCGCAACTTGCTCTCCAACCCGCAGCCACCGACGACTCCACTTCGCCGGCGCAACTCACGCACCCTATCAGCAAAACACACACGCATCACATACGTAAAGAGCCCGTGCACCAGCACCCAACATGACGCAGGTCATTTGCCATGATCTGAATGAGGTTGGTTCGGACGAGTTTTCGCGTTTTCCCGCTTCATTTACTCAGCTTATCTTTGAATTTTACCATTTTTCCGTTTTATTTTTTGTTTTGTTTTTAACTGCTGGGCCTAACTAAATTCGAACCCATTTCAGGTCTGGGATGACATCAGCGAATTCCTGGACCAGGAGAATTTCCGCATTGGTGAGGTCAGCCGATTGGCATTCTCGCCACTTGAAACGCCAACAGTCGGTATGCTCACCCGAGCGCCGCGAGTTCACGACCAACTCATCCGTGAGCCGCCGATCACGTTGGCTATGCCGCCACCGGCGCTACCTGGCGCCACGTTCGCCCCAGCCGTAACGCCAAACCGCCTTCCAGCCTTTGCCTCTACATGTGCCTTAGCCGCTGCCGCCATTGCCACCAGTGCAGGAGGTGCTTGTTCGGCACAACCGACTACTTCGACTGTTATTCCTAGTTACTATCCTCCTCCACCACAACCATCAGTGGCTCCGCCACAGCCGCAGCAGCCACCGCCACTTCCTATTAAGGAAGAATCACCGCCGTCTAGTCCCGAGATACCGTATCCATACATTGACGCCACTTATTCGCGAAGTCCCCTCGCCAACAGTTTGCCCGATTTGAACTTACCGAATCCAACGAAATCGCAAGACAAGCAGGTCAGTGAATTTTCAAAGAATTTTGCTTTTTTGCTTTAGATTAGTTTCATTCCTCTGAAGAACTAATGCGCTCAGCTATGTTTACTTTTTGTTTTTGTTGTTTTCCTCTATTTTCTAATGATTCACTACTTAGATCGACATAAGGTCACATTTTTCCCCATAATCACGTACCTACCGTACCGACCACGTAATCAATTAATTTAATAATTAATTTAATTTTGCCGTTATTTGCCAAATTTCCCAGAACGTCATATTTGTACACATCAAAGAATTCATTTGAATGTAGATTTCCTGGCAGAACAAACCTGGAACCCAGAAAACAAACGAACCCTTGTAAACTTAGCTCATATTTGAGACGAAAGAAATCCCCTGGATCAAGATTTCTGGCTTTCATAGGTCGACCATCGGGAGAGTAAAAACTCAACCGGAATTCTAAACAATATCGTCTATCGACCTTGCATTCTTTCAGCCTTCAGTAGACGTGAAAAAATTAAGGAGAAATTTGACCTTGATAATCATGCGTTGTATCACTAATGGCCTTCACAATGTAACCTCGAAACTTTTGTCAACAATTCCAATTTTTGTTGTGGTAGATCGCAACTCCCCCGATTTTTTAATTATTTCAAATATTGCTTGATTTTTGATTTCATTCATTTTTGTTTTCAATTTTACTTGACCAGAATTTTTTTTCTTTTCCAAATCCACCCACGAGCTTTCTATTGAACAGCTCACACTTAGAAATCGCGTCATTGACTGTCTTCCTTTATTCGTTCTCTTCGAAGTCGTTTTCTGGTATCGAAAAGATTGAAGCCTTTACAAAACTTCCGATAATTTGATAGGGACCATCTCCTAGAAGATGCCTTGGACCTTGGAACCCGTAAGCGTATTTGTAGAAATTCATTCGGAGACCCGATAAATCAGTGTGAACGAAGGTTACCAGATAAACAAGAAATGAAATTTCAATGAAACCTTTTATCTAGATATTTGATGAAGTATTCATTGCAACATTCATCACTACAATGAATGTCATAATGCGGTACGAAATACATATTTTGAATATGAAGTATAAATATAAAATATTATAAATATAAATATGACATGAAGTGAAATAATTTTCATATTCCTCTTTTCCTTTCGAGATTGTTCTCATCTTCCTCGACGACGTCGCTTTGACAGTTTACACCCTGTTGAATGATTCTTGTAGGTTGAAATAGTGTTTGGACGGGGGGTAGTTTCCTAAATAGCTTTCGTCTTTTCCAGGCTCTGAAGAAGGTGAAAGCACCGAAACGTCGGTCTAATAAAGCTCACTGTTCATCTCTGTTGGAAACTTAAGAACTACCCTATCGTATTCGGTAGACTATGCCAAGATTTATACAAAATCGACCTTCTTTTCCATTCGATTTTTTCCTCGAATATTCTTTCTATTCGAATAATCTTTCTAATTTACAAACAAAGCTTCTGAGACGGATACCTTCAAAAATGTGAGAAAATAATATCCATAATTTTCCGATAGGACCCAAGAGGGACGGAGACAATACGCTCAGCCG